AAACTAAAAGAATGCCGATTACCAATCACAAGAAACATAACGAATAACCAAATAGATGAGACAATTTCAAATTTAAATGAAATATTCGCATGTGCTATAGAAAAGTATGTTCCCAAAATGGATATCAAACAAAACACACTTATTGGACTATCTCAAAGGTCTTTAAAATTAATTGAGGAGAAAAAGAAAACAAGACGAAGTTTTTTTAGAAACAGAAATGGTCCGTATGCAAACTCATTTAAAAACAAAATAAAACTCTTAACAAATATGGTCTTCAATTCTATAGTATCAGATTACAAATCTTTTTGGGAGAATAAATTTAGTGAATTGAAGGCAGATAAAAATATATTTAAACATTTTAAAAGATTCTCAAATTACAAACAACGATTGGGTTTACCGGAATCAATGCAGAGTGATGAAAATAACACAACACCAATAATTACAGACATAGATAAGGCGAATGCATTCGCTGAACATTTTAAAAAGGCTCATAATTTAACAATAAATATGGGCAATAACAATTTCAACACAATTGTGGGTGACTATATTAAAGAAACGTTTATTGATGAACATATAACAGATTTTTCAATAATTGATGAAACTGAAATTATAAAAAATGACCCACAAACACCTTTTTTAAATGCAGCGGAAATAGAACTAACAATAAAATCTAGAAATACAAAAAAAACCACCGGTAATGATGGAATATCAAATTTCATTTTAAAAAAAATTGCAACTAATGAATTATGTATTTACTTGGAAATACTTTTCAATCACATTATTAACAATTCATATATGCCAAAAATGTGGAAGGAGGCATATATTGTGCCTCTTCCAAAACCAGATAAAAACAATAAATTAATCTGTTATTATAGACCAATAAGCAAATTGTCTTGTTTGGCTAAGGTTTTTGAAAAACTACAGGCAATAAAACTAGAAAAAGAATGTACAAAACTAGATATAAAATTTGAAAATCAATTTGGTTTCCGACCGGGATTGACCACATGTCATGCACTTTTTAAAATTGCTACACAAATAGCAAACGGTTTGAATTCAAAAACACCATCTCATTTGGTCGCGCTGGATTTTGAGAAAGCGTATGATACTCTATGGGTGGAGGGTTTGGTTTTCAAATTACATAAAATTATGGGATTCAATAAACCAATATGTGGTTTTATACTAAATTATTTAAGAAATCGAACATACAGAGTTCAAGTAAATGACACAAATTCTGAACCGTACACAGCTCCTGCTGGTACTGCTCAGGGATCGACAATTTCATGCTTGTTATACATTTTATATGTTGTAGATTTTCCTAAACATTTGGGCTCACTACACATAAATACAACACAATTTGCCGATGATGTTCTCATCTCAGTACAAACTAAATTAACAGATTTGGCTGGGGAGGAATTAAATCATTATTTGAATGAAATAAATGATTATCTATTTAAATGGAAAATAAGGGCAAATGCAAATAAATGTGAGGAGATCTCTATACTCGGTAATACAAAACAAACCACACGATTGACAAGAAAACGAGCGGGGGAAATTGAATTAAAAATAAATAACAATATAATACCTAAAACTGACAAATTAAAATACTTGGGAATTCATTTCACAAGAAATTTCAAATTTAATCAGCATATTGACACAATAGTAAAAAAAATGATAAAAGCATATTTTGCATTAAAAAATATATTTTTCAACAAAAAAATCGATAAAAAAATAAAATTGTTGGCTTATAAGCAAATCATAAAACCAATAGCAATGTACGCCGCACCGATCTGGTTACAGGTCTCAAAAAACCAAATTAATAGAATTGCTAAACTGGAGAGAAAAATATTAAGGGCTTGTTCTGGGCTGTATAGAAAACCTGACAGCTTTAAATACCATACAAATTCCACATTATACGAAGAATGTGCAATCGAACCCATAGAAAAAGAAATCATAAATGGTACTCTGAAATTTTTCCAAAAAATAAGAGAAAATGAATCATCAACATTAAGATTTTATTTAGCATATGATGAGGATTATATGAATTCGATTCATTATTACAACAGTAAACCACCAATTTATATAGAATATTTAAATGATTCTAATAATCTATTTTTAAACGAAAAACAAATCTACTATAATGGACTACCAACCATAGAACAATATAGAACATCATTCCAGTTTGGAGATGATGGGGATAATTGATTTAAAAGTCATGGGGATATGTCTAAATTTTGAATTTGAACATTTCAAATATGATATTTTGGCTATAAAAATTGCCCATGAATTTTTAATACATTTTTGTACATATTTCTTATTATTTCTTTCTTTATAAAAAAAAAATGTATGCGGGGTTTAATTTTTTCCCCTAAAATTCTAATCTGAAAACAGACAATAACCGAAATAACATGGGAAACCGGGGATAAAAACATTTAAATAGATTTTTGAAATATTTCTGGAAATGGAATGCAAAACTAAGAAAATTAGTGTTATTTATTAGTTTAATCTTTACCTAATAATATAAATATTTTATGTAATAATGAAAAAAATAAAGGTACTTTGAAAAATTCAAAAAAAATGTATTGGAGTTCATACCGACGTTACACACTTTTGAAGTTCTTCACCCAAATTATTTTTTTGTTGAAGAAATATAAATTTTTGGCCTGGAAATTGCTTTTATGAAATAATGACATGATAATTAATTTTATTTTGTGTTGTGTGTGTGTTTCAATTTGAAACTTTCAAATCGCTGCTGTATGCGAGCTGTATAATTACAATAAACTACGAAAATCACGAATATTCGTAATATTTGTCGCTATATACCAAATTCATACAAAACTGTATTTATTTGATGTTTTTTTTTTAAGTTCCTAGGTTATCACTTTTAGTAAATTTCCACTCTTCTCTCGTTTCGCAGGCAGCGGCTGAGGTTGGAATAACAAGTGAAACGAAACGGTGTCTGTTAACAATAACCGAAATCGAATTGACATTAATTAATGAATTGAATGAAGACGATCACGTCGATGGGATTTTGGTGCAATTGCCATTGCCGTCGCATATAAATGAGCGCCTGATTTGTGATGCGGTTTGTGTTAATAAAGATGTTGATGGTTTCATTGAGAAAAATGTGAGGGGCTTGTGTTTGGATATAAATTCATTGATTCCATGCAATGCATTGGGTGTACAAGAGCTAATACGTGCGCATATTGAGACATTCGGTAAAAATGTCGTGGTCATTGGTCGATCGAAAAAAGTCAGTTTGCCGATATACATGCTGTTACATGCGGATGGTAGAAACACTGTTACAATGTGCCATCGATTTATGCCGCGTGATAAATTGAAAACATTATGTCGCCATGCTGATATTATCATATCGGCCACCGGTGTTCCGAAACTTATTACAACCGGTATGGTTAAAAGAGGCGCAGCCATCATTTATGTTGGCGTTACTCGCGTTCAAGACGAACAAACTGGCAATATCAAACTTGTCGGAAATGTTGATTACGATGGTTGGTCGATATTTTTGAGAATTTTATTTCATTAATTTGCCATTTTCTCACGAATTTTCAGAAGTACGCAAAGTTGCCGGATGTATTACACCGGTTCCAGGCGGCGTTGGACCAATGACAAATGTTGATGAGGAACACATTTGTTGCCGCCAAAAATTTAACCAAATTACGCACTGGCCGTGTATAACAAGTTACAATTTTACTGAATAAAACTCGCATTTCTTTTCGTAAAAATAACAAAAATTGTGATTATTTTTGGTGTTGAAAATCGATCTGTTGGATTTGTAGAAGAAAAATGAAATTTTAGGTGAAATTGGCTCTTTTTTTCGATCAAAATTCACGGAAATATATTCTTTTCAGACGCAAATCACTTGATATCAAGATTTGGATAAAATGCTCGAGAAATACATTACTTTCACGAAGTGAAAATGACACTTGCAGTTTTATGCGTAGAACAAGTATGTGGTATATACTAAACAGTACGACAGTCGACTTGATTGTACTTTGTTCAGTTTTATCTTACCTCCAGCAAATAAACCCAATCTGAATTCATGCAGCAGTATTTACATGTACGAAACTGCTTTGGCAGCATGAACTTGAATGGAACTACTTCGACAGAATATGAACTTTGGTCTCTTTCTACCTTTTTTCTCTTTTTTAGGTTGATTGTAATTTGGATAGTAAATAACTTGCACTTTTTCTTTACCGTTAACCGGTTCCGTTGACATTGAACTTACACAAAACCAAATAAACTATTTTGTCGTGCGTTTTTAAGCGAAAATGTAAACAATGGTGTGAAAAAGAAGGTGATCGTAAAAGATAAGATCAAAAAATCCGGTTAAACCATTCACTGTGGTGTAGATAAGTGGTGTCGCCCATTGGCTTCAATTTTTAAACAAGTGCAATCAATCACGTCGGTTCATTTACTATAAATACCGTTGAAATAATTATGAATTAAAAAAGAGAGAGAAGAGAGAGAGAGAGAGAGAAAATGCACAAAACCGAAGTATTTACCAACATTGCAAATGGAACGGTAGTAATTATCTAGTTAGCACAATTATTATGTAAATGAAATGCGCTACAGTTAAATAGCCAGAAAATTACAATAAATTCGCGTGAATTTCGGAAATATCAAAGGAAGAATACTACCGTCCCTTGATTTTAAGAACACCCCATTTGCAAGTGGCAGTAAAAGTAATAAAATCTCACTCCAATTCTGTCTTTTACGTCTATTCGTTTCTTCGCGGTTTAAAGTACAACTTTCGATCGTTTTCAGTTCAACTTTTCTGTTGATTAAACAACTGTGTCCAAAATAAATACGACCGTTAAAACTGGAATCGTTTATAATTGAATTTTTGTATTTTTACTTGAACCGGGAAGTGATGCATAATACTTGAGTGGCGTTGAATTTCAATTCGCCCCACGGGTTATTGGTTATTGTATGCGTGCTTCGTGCACATTCATTTTGTATTTAAACCGTCACATTTTGTACAGTGAAATCAGTTCAACAATTCATTTCGAATTGGTAAAATATTGAAACTAATCAATTTTATCTACTTTTGTTCATCGAGTGATTTTTATATTCTGAAAATTAAATAAATACACAACTATATGTTCAATATGAATTCAAAAGTGGTAAGAATCGATAAAAAATGAATAAAGAATCATTTCATATAAAAAGAGGTTTCATAAAAATACTTTGCGAAAAAAGCAAGTTGAAAGTGTCATCAGTCAAAATAGCAGTTAAAAGTTAAATCGCTACGATTGGTGGTTAAGTCGTGTATAAATCGTACCCATTCAATTGAAAATTTGTTATTTTTTGCAGATTTGCTTCTTTGCTCTCGTAGCCGCTGTTCAATCAGCTCCTCAACTCTACCCTGCTGGAGTTGATCCTGCCTTGTGCCCAGGATTTCCAATATGCGACAATGCAATGTTGCATGGAGTTCCAGCCGTTCCAGAAAGTCCTGTAGCACCTGAAGGGCGTGCAATTCAACAAGCTCAACCACAATGGAGTGCACCAGTTCAACAAGCTCGAACTGTACCTGAATGGACAGCTCCAGTTCAACAAGCTCCCGTCCAACCACAATGGACTGCACCAGTTCAACAAGCTCGAGCTGAACCTGAATGGACAGCTCCAGTTCAACAAATTCCAGTTCAGCAAGTATGGGGCGCACCAATGCCACAAGCGCCTATTGCACATGTATGGAACGGAGCTCCAGCCGCCCAACCGGCATCAGCTGTTATGTGAGTTTTTTTTGCATTCGTTTGATGATTTTCCTTTGAAGTGACAAAGATATGAATTTCAAAATGACTCAATTTAAATGTTTATACAGTTACCCAGCTGGTGTAAATCCACTGTCGTGTCCAAACTACCCATACTGTGACGTCTCGGCCGGTGTAATGGCAGCTCCAAAAGTGTCTCCATTGCCAGGATACACAGAGCGACTATATCCAGCCGGCGTTAATCCAGCTGAATGTCCAAACTACCCAGAATGTTAAGAGAATATAATTACTAATTTGGTTCACTGTTCTTGGCCTTGCGTCTTGGACATATTTTCTGTTGAATTCTATTTGTGCTTTTTTTATGTAACTTTCTGGAAAGATTTTAATAGTGCCATCAACCAAACATTGAGATTCTTATTGATGCTGTGCACACATAATGCATAACAGATAACTGACTTTTATATAAAACTACGAATTTTTTTTTTCATTGAATAAATGACCAAATTTCATTACTTTCTATCGTTGTTTAATCTCTTTATCGTTTAAAGTTATTGCGCCAATAAATGTCTTTGGGAAGACCTATCTTGCGAAAACCAGTATTATGTAGATTTAATTACGTATCGCCGTATAAATTCCGGATTAAATTTGTGTACGAAGCTCAAGGTAAAATGCATAGGCGAGATCACATGCAACATGCTACCAGTAAATGCACCATTAAATTGGAAATCAAATTCTATGATAATACAGTAGAACCCAAATTATATGTCTCTCTATTAATCGTCATCACCTTGTCAATTAAACCTAAAATTATAAACTTATCATGTTTTTGCTTTGTTTTGAATAGAATTGACTACGTAACTATCTTGAACGTACCGAAATTGTGCTCAAAGTGTCACACAGCTAGCGCCACGACGGAATTCAATGTAATCTATACTAAGTTGCTGCCCACTAGTGAAAAGACCTTTGCTCAGTTAAAAACAACAGACTAGAACTCCATAGTTGTACATAGTAGCTGTGCTACAGTTTTGCATTTTATACAGTCTCTTACGGAACATAATTGCAGTGTGATCTTGAATTTACAACGTATATTTCTAAACTTTACACGAACATCTATCGAACATTTGATTAAATATCCGTTTGCAGTTTGTTGGATTTACTATAAAAACCGGAATGCAATATAGCGTCCAGTTCAATTGATATTGGCTACAAAGGAAGTAAAAAGTGTTATGCAGCAATGTTCGTTCTTTCAACGTGTTGTGTTTTTCTTTTGACTTATTTTATATGGAGTCGATATGATTTATATAAATTATCGTGGCAGCTACCAGGACCGTTTTCGATGCCACTTATTGGAAATACATTTTCATTGCACCAAAACAGTGAGTATTTCTGCCATGGAACTTTAAAAAAAAATATTCTCAGCGAAAGCTAAATCGAAACTCCAGAGTAAAAGCCAAAATATGGATACCTCTATTTTAATTTATCTCGATTTACGTTTGTAAAAATTCTAGAATTTTTTTTTCACGTCAATTTCTCAGAGTTGCACTCATATGTGGATCGACTGTCAAAAATATACAAAAGTCCATTCCGTTTATGGCTTGGACCGTTACTACTAGTATGCATTACTGATGCCGAAAATGCTTAAATTGTGTTAAAATCAAAAAAATGTTTGAACAAACCACACACCTTCTACAAAATGATTCGTGATGGAATCAGTGCTGATGGATTATTTACCTTGAAAGGTACGTCGAATGTATATCTTTCTTTGATTTTCATTCGATTCACAATAAATTTTATTTTTCACAAAACAACACCGAATAAATTAATAAAATACATATTTATTGTGCAGCGGATGATTGGAAAGTGCATCGACGATTTGTAAGTCCGACGATAAATCAGCCAAGTGTAAGCATGCATCTTTCTGTTTTCAATGAAAATATACGAAAAATTGTGTTGAGTTTATCGGAAAATTCGGAATACTTTGACATTTTGCCGTCAATAACGACGTGCAAATTGACAATGTTCGTTGAAGCAGCGTTGGGCTCGGAATGGGAAATCGAAGTTAAACAACGATATCTACGACAATTTATTGCGTACGTATTGCAATGAAAGCATAATACACACAGTATTTGCTGTACAATATAGAGAATTTTTTAGCGGCGCAACTATTTCATTATACAATATATATTTCAAAATTCACACACTTTTTGATTCATGTGATTTTGCTTGCACTTCAACTTTAATAAATTCGCTTTAAATTGTTTCAGAATTGTTTCGAAACGTTCTTTGCAGCTACTATTTCATATCGATGCTATTTGGAATTTAACCAAAGCAGCGATACAATTAAAAGAATACAATCAATATGGACGTGAAATTTTTCGAAAAGTAAAACAAAAAATTTAGTACAAATTGCGATTTTCTTAAATCTGCCATCTCTCTCCTCTCTTCCCGGTATGTGTTTTGAACTTGAAGACGTTGGAAGATAAATTGAAAAATGGTTATGATGCAGAAACATTTCTTGGAAGACTTTTGGAGGTATCAAATGACAATCCACAATTTTCAACAGAAGATGTATTCGCCGAAACGGCTACCATTATCACTGGCGTAATCCTCTAAATTTTTAAGTATTTTATTTTTAAAGTAAGTGTCTTCGATTTAAATGTTTTTTTTTTATAGGCAACAGATACTTCTTCAGCAGCATCTGCGTTTGTGGCATTAATGTTGGCCATGCACCCAGATCAACAAGAAAAAGTGTTCAAAGAAATTGTGACTATAATGCCCGATAAAAATGCTAACCTTACCCAAGCCGATCTGGTTAAACTTGAATTTACTGAATTATGTATTAAAGAAACGTTACGGCTATTTCCAACAGCTCAATTGATTGGCCGTGTTGCATGCGAAACGATTAAGCTAAGTAACAATATTGAAGTTCCACTAAATGTGACGCTGGTTTTTTGCTTACGTCAAATTCATATTCAAGAAAAATACTACGGGCCAACAGCTCATAAATTTGATCCATATCGTTTTTTGGACAAAAACTTTAAAAATCTTCCCGATGCAGCTTATATGCCATTTAGCTATGGGCCACGCAATTGCATTGGTTAGTTAATTGATATTTTTTTTACGTAAATTTCATCATTACATTATTTACAAAGAATAAATTCAGAAATTTGTTTTTATTTCAGGTTATCATTACGCAAAAGTGTCTGTGAAATGTTTTATTGCTCACTTGATTCGAAATTATCGGGTTTCAACAACTTATACGGACCTTGATCAGCTTCAACTTGTTCAAAACGCTAGTTTGCGATTGGTTCATAAACATATGATTAAAGTTGAACCGAGAACTCTTTGATAGACGAAAAAATCATGAACACATTTAATTGGGGCGAAATTAATGGTTATAAGGTTTGCAAAATTAATTAAAATTCAACAAATAAAAATAACAATTTTAACTTGCATACGTCTTTCAAATACAACTTTGTACAAACCTGATTTGAAAATAAAAACTTAATGAAAGATATGAGCACCATTTGAGAGGAATCAGTGGAGTGTGCACTATGCATACAAAGTATTCATTAATTAATTATTCCATGAGAAGCAAATTACTTAATAAGAATATAATTTGAGAGTAATTGCATCATTTGATACAATGTATCAGTAGTTTTGCAACTAATTTATTTTTAGCGCTAAATATGCACCTCTCGTGCAAATGTTCATCAAAGTATAGTCAACTGTTGAAGTAATAGGTTCATTTCGATCGCTGTAAAAATGCTAGTTCTGATAGTATTTTTCATAACATTTGCTACTTATCTACTGTGGAATCGTCGACATCTCTACCTGCTATCTTGGCAGCTACCTGGCCCAATTGCAATTCCTTTGATTGGAAATGGTTATAGCATAGCAAACCCACACAGTAATTTCTAACATTTCAAACCAAATTGAAATTTCATATAAATTCTTAAGTTTTCTCTTAATGTGGCTTTTTTTTTCAGAATTATCACCATATCTTGATGAGGTGACCAAAAAATATGGGAGTCCAATACGATTATGGTTTGGCCCTGAAATGGTTGTTTTCATATCAGATGCTGAAAACGCAGAGATTGTACTAAAATCCAAAGATTGTCTTAATAAACCACAAATTTTCTATAAAATTGTCCGTGATGCAATGCAAGTCGATGGATCTTTTACATTAAAAGGTTTCAAAAGATTTTATAACGTTTGACGTATTAAAAATTTAAAATATTGTCTGAAACTAAACAATGTGCGTATTTTAGCTGAAAAATGGAAATATCATCGTCGCTTACTGAGTCCGTCAGTAAATTTATCGAAAGTGAGTGCACACTTACCGATTTTCAATCAACATATTCAAAAATCAATAGCTAATCTGCCCATTAATGGTGATTTTATTGATATTTTACCATATTTATCGACATGCAAAATTGCCATGTTTGCCGAAGCAGCGTTGGGGTCAGAAATAGAAAAAAATGTTAAACAAAAGTATCTACAACAATTTGCTCAGTGAGTATATCAAACTACTGGTTATTGGAAATCAAAACTTTAATTGAAAAGAGTGGATTGTAATTTAACATGTACATGATTGATTGAATTGAGTGAGAGTTATTGATATGCGTAAAAAATCGATTTTTTTTATCAAAACATGTATAATTGATTACGAGTATCTTTGACGTAATGTAATTTGTTTAATAACTTTTTTTTGTAAACTATCCAAGAGTATAAGCATTATTATTAGCATTCTTTTTTTTTATTCGAAACGTCAACTTGAACTTGGAAATTGTCACTACCAGGGGTTTGGAAATAGTGGGAAAACGGATCTTAGATCCATTATTACACATTGATTTCATTTGGAATTTAACTGAATCAGCGAAAAAATTGCGAGAATATAGTTGTTTTGGTAGAACATTGTTTCAAAAGGTATTTTTTAAATGAGAACTGAAGAATTTATTTCAATTGTAATTTTTTTTGATGTTCTTTTTAAATCTTCCAGATTCTGAAGGAAAAAGTTCAAACCGGAAGTGAATCACATTCATTCTTAGAACGATTATTAGATATATCGAATGAAAATACAAATTTCACACATGAGAACGTTATTGCTGAAACGGCAACAATTCTTACAGGGGTACGATTGTTTGTGAATCAATAGACCAGTTGCGAAATCTCACTTTAACGATTCGCCATTTTTTGGTGTGAGGATAAATTGTAAAAGGATCCGGGAGTGAAGGCATTAAAAATGGCTAAAATTCGATTTTGCCAGCAATCTAATGAATAAACTAAATGTTGATATATTTTAGGCAACAGACACATCCTCAGCTGCATCGGCTTTTGTGGCTGTAATGTTAGCTATGCATCCAGAATATCAAGAGAAGGTATTTCAAGAGATTCTAATGGTAATGCCATACAAAGATGCCGAATTAACACAAACCGATTTGGATAAACTGGAATTTACTGAATTGTGCATTCGCGAAACTTTGCGTCTCTTTCCAACTGTTCCTATAATTGGTCGCGTTACAAGCAAACCCGTTAAATTGAACAATAACATTGAAGTACCCGTGGGTGTGCCGATTATGTTGGGACTGCGTCAGATTCATATTCGCGAAGAATATTATGGATCAACAGCAAAAGTCTATAATCCATATCGATTTATGGATGAAAATGTCAAGAATTTGCCTGGTGGAGCTTATATTCCATTTAGCTATGGACCACGGAATTGTTTTGGTAAATTTAGTACACATTTTTTTACAATGAACGCTGTAATTAAAATATGCTGATTTCAGGTTATAGCTATGCAAAAGTTTCGGTAAAATGTTGCATCGTACATTTGATACGGAATTATCGACTTACCACCATCTATAAAAATATAGAAGAATTAAAACCAGTACTAAGCATAAGCATGAGATTAATCAATAAGCATATGATTAAACTGGAACGAAGAGAATGAATATAAACCAGTGTTTCATATATCGCTATCAGTATCCGTAAGATAACTGAGAGGGATAAATTCAGCCAGATATGAGTGTCAAAATTGTGTCAAAATTGCATTAGACACGCTTACCATCTCCAGTGTCTAATTTAGACAGTGTCATATCTGGCTGAACATATCCCTCTCAGTTATCTTACGAATACTGATAGCGATATATGAAACACTGATATAAACTGATAACAGCATTACCGTCGAATGCTCCAAGTATTCTGTGCATTTTGGTTACGGTTGCAATGTTAGTCTACAAATGTTATAAATAGATTGTTTACACTTTGCACTTTTAATTAATACTATACACCTGCACAATAATTAAATTGTATTTGAAATTAAAAAGACAACGAAGACATTGAATTTATAAATGTTCGATCTTTTAATCGCATTATATGCGCAAGATAAGGATTTTTATTACTTGTAGTTAGTTAACATTAAATAAAAAACCAATAAAATGTCTTACATCCGTAAGATGAACTTTTCCGCACTGTAATCCACAACATGCATTTATTACATATCTCTTACTTTAATTTGAACTCACGAAAAACTGAATCTGACATTAGTTTTGCGATACAAATAATTTTTGATAGACTTTTTGTACAAAAATTACTAAAAATGGGAATTTTAGTATTGAATCAATGCCTGTATGATATCGTAACGACGTGAAACTTTGCACAGTGTATTTTTTCACAAAAAGCCGTCATTCTGAAAGTTTGAAGATATTTCAACAGAACTTAGGGGTAAAATCCAAAATTTTGTTCGGAAGGTACCCCTAATATACGTTGAAATGTCTTCAAACTCTCGGAATGGCATTTTTGTGTGATAAAAATGAGCTGTGCAAAGTTTCAGCTCATTACGATATCATACAGGCATGGCTTCCATACAAAAATCCAAACTTTTTGAAATTTTTTAGTGTTTAAGAATACATTAAATATCACTTTTGGAGGAAAAATTGAATTTTTCCCATGGATGGCCATGAGCATCACACCAGACATGACACTTCACTCTATCAACCAAAGTCGCTCAAAATCTAATGGTTTCTATTCCTCGGGACCCCTTATCATTCTGTGACATTTTATTTTCGATGTCCGAATGTATGTGCGTGGTACCTTGTACTCTGTACGCAAAAATTTGTTAACGCGTTAACTTTCAATCAAGAAAAGTAATTCAAAATCTGACTTCATAGGATGATTGGGGGTGCCGAGGAATAGAAACCATTAGATTTTGAGCGACTTTGGTTGATACAGTGAAGTGTTATGTCTGGTGTGATGCCTATGGCCATTCATGAGAAAAATTCAATTTTTCTTCCAAAAGTGATATTTAATGTATTCTTAACCCTAAAACCGTCCATCGGGCACTCAGTGCCCGAGCAAAATTTCAAACTAAAATTAAACCATTTTCTTCATCAAACATCACTAAACCCCGATTTTTTTCGTGTTGTCGGCCTCTGTTTCTACTGAAAAACATAAAATATGCATCTATTCACGCCATGGTTTTCGAAAAAATGGCCGGCAAAAAAAAGATGATCATTGCGTCTTTGGGGCACTCAGTGCCCGACGTATAATTTCATATATTTTGTATGGGAAAATTGCTGAATTGTAAAAAATGTTTGTGCACGAATGAATCGATTGTTCTCATATACAAGCATATATACACTTGTTACGTTGTTCGGTGTTCCGTGTGACATTATAAACAAATTCTGCCGAAATTGTGTTTTGCATTGAATTGCTTCGATTTACTTTTACATATACACAACAAACATGTCTCGTGTTCAATTCATTTTTTTATTCATTTATAGGTGAATTCCCATAATCAGATAAATTTAACAGAGAAAACTTAAAGGCAAACAGTGTAAAATGCCATTTTGAAAATGAAACTGGTCGAATTCATCGGTACCGCAAACATTTGTTCAGCCAATATTTATTTTATTTTGTCAGCACAGTATACAAAACGTAGCTGCCGATCTGCTGCGTGCATTCAATGAATGGGGGTGTCAACGAACCACAAATACTGGTTCGAGTTCGTTCGTTTTCAAAAAAATTAATTCGTTTTCGTTTTCGATTCGTTCAGTTTTTAACTAGTTCGTTCGGATTAGTTCGTTCGGATTAGTTCGTTTCAAAAAAAAATTGAGTTCATTTCCGGTTCGTTCGTTTTGCGTTCGAAGTTCTGGGTTCGGATTCGGGTTCGTTCGGAAAATATATTTGTTAAGCAAAAATGATGACATGTTGTTCAAAAAAGTTTTGAAAAAACCAAATAAACATTTCACTTGCTGTCAAATAAATATTTTTTTCTGAATAAATAATTTCATTATTATTTGATTTCACATTTTCATGGAAAAGATATATTCATTTACATATTGCTTCATATATGAGCAATTTTGAATTTGAAAACTGAGTAATTAAAATTTTTGTTTTTGATATTTAAGCGACTTAAGTAACTCTTCTGTTTTTATTAGTACTATTTAAATTCATTCAAATCAATAAAGTAACAAAAATAATTCAAAGTATAATTTCAAAGTAAATTCTTCAAATAGCAAAGAATAGTGAAAATGTTTGTTGTTGATATTTTTGTGTGAAATTATTATAATGTGAAACTAATTTACTTTCAATCAATGGAGTATTTGAGTTCGTTTTCGTTTTCGGTTCGTTTGATTTTTAATTGGTTCGTTCGAATTCGTTTTCGAAATTCTTGGGTTCGTTTTCGGGTTCGTTCGTCAACTAAACGAACGAACTCGAAAACGAACCGAACACGAACGTTCATTGACACCTTTCATTGCCATTCATGTCTTTAGTTTACGAAATGACACAATATTTCTGAAAATATCGAGAAAATTCAAAATAAAAAATTGAAAAATTTCAATTTTTTCATACAAAATACACTAACGGGCACTGAGTGCCCCCAAGACGAAGTGATACAATTTAGTTAAAATTTGTTCAGCCAATATTAATTTATTTTGGCAGCACAGTATACAAAACGTAGCTGCCGACCCGAGCCAAAATTTTTTTTGTTCCAAATCGTTTTTGAGCCAAAAATTGAAAATTTTATATGGGAGGTACCCTTATTTTTAATTGAAAGTTTTCCAAACTCTCAGAATGTTATTTTTTTTGTAAAAAAATGGCCTTTGCAAAGTTTCACGTCATTGTGATATCATGCATCCATACAAAAATTCAATAATTTGGTGTTTTTATCTTTCCATATACACACACACTACATATTTTCATATTTTGAATTATTTATACGTCAATAGTCTATTGATACAGGTTTTACTGTATATTAATTGGCCAAAAAACCTTATTGCTCTTAGAAATTACCAGTACATGTACAATATCTCTCGGGAAATAAATATTCGTTCGGTAAAGAAAGAAATTTGGAAACAGTGCGGAAAATTTAGACTTACGGATGTAAGTTCCTTTTTATTTTAAATACTTTTCATACAAAAGAAACAAAAATTTGGATTTTTGTATGAAAGCCATGCCAGTATGGTATCGTAAGGATGTGCTACGTTACACAGGTTATTTTTCCAAAAGAAAATAATATTCTGAAAGTTTCGTACCGAAATTATGCCCAAACTGTCACACTGCTAGTGCCACGACGGAATTCAGTGTAATCTACACTAAGTTGCCGCCAAATAGTGAAAAGACTTTTGCTCAGTTGCAAACAACAGACTAGAACTTCATAGTTGTCCGTAGTGGCGCTAGCAGTGCTACAGTTTTGCATTTTATACAGTCTCTTATGGGGCATAATTTCGGTGTGGAAAGTTTGAAGAAATTTCAAAAAAAATCACACAAAATTTTACATTGAAATCAGAACATACATTAATGTGAAAAAACATTATGAAATTGGCGTGTTTTATGTTTTTGACTGGGTCATTTTTGGTATTTTTTGGTGCATATATATATTCCGGCGATAATTCGGCCAGAATAATGTTGATAGATGAGCAAGCTATTTGGTATATTTCGCAAAAAATTGAATTTTTGTATGGGAGCCATGCCTGTATGCTACTTTAATGACGTAAAACTTTGCACAGACAATTTTTTACACAAAAAACTAACATTCTGAAAGTTTGAATAGATTTCAATCAAAATAGGGGTACCTCCCATACAAAATTTTCAATTTTTGGCTCAAAAACGAATATTTTGTATGGGAGGTACTCTTAATTTTGGTTGAAATTTTTACAAACCCTCCGAATGTTTTTTTTAGCCTAAAATAACCTGTGCAAAGTTTCACATACAGGTAGCATACAGACATGGCTCCCATACAAAAATCCAAATTTTTTGTGATTTTTGTATGAAAAGTGTTTCAAAAATAATTTGTATGGCAAAAGTAACGTCAGACACATTTTTATAGCGCTTTGTTAGAAAATAGAATACTTTCAAATGTCATACAAATGGATTCACCATGAAAGTGTGAAAAATCTTTTGCGAGTACTTCTGCTATTAAATTAAAGAATATTTCGATGCCGAATATATAGCTTAATAAAATACGCATCTACCACCGAAATACATATTTCTGAGTCTTTAAGAATTCATTAAATATCACTTTTGGGGGAAAAATTGAATTTTTCCCATGGATGGCCATGGGCATCACACCAGACATGACACATTCCTCTATCAACCAAAGTCGCTCAAAATCTAATGGTTTCTATTCCTCGGTACCCCCAATCATCCTGTGAAGTCAGATTTTGAATTACTTTTCTTGTTTGAAAGTTATCGTGTTAACAAATTTTTGCGTACAGCGTACAGGGTACGCACATACATTCGGACATCGAAAAAACGCTAGATTCGTGTCCCCTGGCCCCAAAAACACCCAGAAAACACATTCTTTATGGGTGTTAATTTTTTGACCGATTCCAATACTTTACCTTACACACTAGGTGTGTGCGGAAAAGTAAAACTTCAAAATAATTGTTTTTCGAATTTGAGCACGTAAACAAATATTTGCACCATTTAATTTGAATTTTTAGCACTCTATTGTGAACCGGTCTCATTGAATTGTCTAAAAAGCTTATAACTGTCAAGTTCAAAATGTCTGATCGCCTGTCATTTATCTGTCAGTGTCAATACCGTACAATTACACATCATTGTAAAATAGATCATCAACAAAGAAAGTAAGTTTAAATTTAAAAAATGTTCCTCTTCTCTTTTAATAGAGAATTTATTTCTCCTTCGTTCCATCACATTCATAATAATTAATTCCTCAATATCGGGTATTTCATTAATTTCAATTTTTGACAATTCTGTCTTGAAGTGGAATAATTATAATTGATAACATAAGTCGTGGATCGCGAATAATATTGACTTAATAATAATCTGTTCTTTTTTGTAAAATTGATCCAAATAAATATAAGTGAATTCAAGTTGTCAAGTTTTTTATAGATAGATCACGTCGCGACGCTAGTGAGTAGTATATGAATGTGAATATACAAATGACGTCACAATTTGAAAATGCACTAATTTCTTATCTTCAAGCCAATCTAATCTAATCTAATTTTAATGACATTTTTCCATATTTCATATAGAAATTCGATTATTTTGACGTACAAAACAGCAGAAACACGGCACACAAAGCTTGAAAGCACCAATTCCTACCTTTTTACAAAGTCATTTGTTCCAATCGAGTCTACTTACATTCATAAGGAAAATTTCATCGACTCTGTTAAAGGTAAAAAAGATTAAATTATTAAATCAATTTCAATTTTATCACTTAACTCCAGAAAATTCGAATTTTTCAGGTCATTCCAGTCTGTATTTGTGATAAAAATCTACTCCAAAATGAGTGAGCAGACGGTTAAAGATCAGAACAGCACTGACGTCGATGAGTCACATCAAAATGACGGCACTGATACCAAAGCGACCGATACACCGGACCAAATTACTGTTGCTTTCGATGCCGTTTCCCTTGGCTCTGACATTCCTCCGCCAATTTTCAAGCTGATCAACGATTGTTGGGAAGAAATCTTCGATTGGTTATCGCTGGAAGAATTGCATTCATTTGGTCGAACGTGCAAGCATTTTCAACGACTAACTGGCGAATATTTCAAGTGGAAATATCAAAACGTTATTTGCCACGTGAATGATAATGAAAAGATCATTCAGTGTAAGAAATTGGATGGTTTTATTCCATTCACCCAAAAGCTAGCATTCTTCCGACTAAATCCGGACGCTTCATTTCGTTACGTTCTAAAAAATATCAAGTCACCAAAATCCATGGAAATTGTGAATGCTCGTTCGACAAACCTCGACCTTAAACTAATGAAGAACAATCTAAGTAACGTAGAAGTGTTGAAATTTAGAAATAGTTATCTAGATGGTTCATTTATTGAAACATTTCTTAAATTATGCGTGAGACTAAAGCGTTTGACAATCGGACCAAATGCAGGAAATACTTGGTTACTCCATAAATATCCGACATTGCAATATTTTAAACTGACTGACTATGAATGCGATTCATTGGTTAATGACGAACTGATGACATTCTTTCAGCAAAATCCGAATGTACGAAGCTTTGCGACTACCGAAAAAATTCTCTTTCAAAATCGAGACTCGTTCATCGCAAATAATATTGAATTGGATGAATTGACAATCTTGAGGGTGGATGATATCGATGAACTATGTGTTGTGGTGAATGATCTGTATCGGCGGGGTTTTTATAAACGTTTACACTTGAAAACGGTGTCGACAAAATGTTTGAAAAATATGCCGGGACTTGTTACATTGTACATTAATACATATTATAACTACGTAGAGATGCCCCAATTGGACGGTGTGATGGAACTGTTTTTGAATGCACTTTCTGATGGATTGCATTTTGTCGTGAATATGGAAGAAGTGTCAATGAACTTGAAAAATCTTGAACGAATTTTCACACCTGCAACAAGCGAAGAGTACTTGCGTGTATTTTTTCGAAATTCGGCGAAACTAAAGGAAATTAAAATAGAATATTTGTGTGATGGTATTGACGTGGTGGCCATGAACATTGAACGAAAAAAATTGAAAGGCGCGAAACAGGTTACGATCTTTCTTGACGAGGAGGATTATTTGGCAATTAAATCGAAACACAATAAAACCGATTTTGGATTGATTGAGGTGAAACGCAAAGAATCATACGAGGGTGTTTGGGATCATGCGTTTGGATAATATTAAAAGTGGAAATTTACTGCTTTGTGATGATTTCATTCAATTTTTAGATTTGACAATTTTTCAATAAAATACGGCACCCAACACGGAAAACATGCACGAAATAAATTACATATATTTTACGATTTCAATCAACAGATTTTTTGTTTTATTTCTTTTAATATTCACAATGAGATAGCATAAATCTAGGGATGGACATGATTTCAGTACATTTGAAGTGGTGGTAATGCTGGTTGAAATTGAATTGATGTGTGCCGAAATTAAAAGAAATGTTTTACACGTCTCCTGCAATATTGCCGCGCAAAAATGTAATACACGTTTGTATGCGTGCGATCTATACCATAAAGGTCTGAGATTATGGGAATTGTATGGCGAACCACATCGACGGTGTATGTGTGTGCTTCAGTGTGCAATGACATCTCGGCAAAAGTTTCCTCAAATTACCTCACATACTAGCACAATCATAACTATTTAATGTATTGGGTTAGGACATTCCCAATATATTTCAGAAAAAAATGCAAAAAAGAATGCCAATTCCAATTTATTATCAGAAAAGTCCGTTGTTTTCATCCTTCATTAACTCAGAGCTTCATTTCGAATAAATTTCGAAAATACCCGATTGGCGAACATTTTCGAAATTATGACTCGACAGTTTTTCGAATAGTCGTCCTATCATCACAGCGTACGCCTGTGTGCGTTGTTTATTATTCAATTTCATCATTTCATCTTTCTTTTTTTGCTAGATCTTTCACAACGATTATCGCTTACGACATGATCACAACATAAGTTTTTTTATTTATTCGTTCTGTTTGTTTTACTGTTCAAAATCGAAAAGCAAAAGCTGAGAAAAAGTATTTTGTGACCTTGAATTGAATCGTTGCGGTGAAACAGTAGCTCTTATTTTTCTCCAAATAATACTGCAACATGAAGTTTTTTTCACACGGTTTATTTGTTGTAATACAACTATTCATAAAAAACCTAATGTTGCAGTATTATTTGGAGAAAAATAAGAGCTACTCTTTCGCCGCAACGATTCAATTGTATTTCGATTTAATTTTTGTAATTAATAATTTCCAAGGGACCTTTGTTTGGATTTCACATTGTTATACACTTTTAATTCGAAGAAAGACAAATTACCGTTCCTTCTACAAAATAGTATTCTTCTTAAAATCAGTTCTTCGAACTCAACATTGTCACGGTACATTCAATATAGGACTTGTGAGAAAAAAATTTTGTTTAGCTGTTGTACAAATGTTTTTTTAAGTACGTCAATAAAAATTGCCTTTGTTCAAAAATTAGATTCAATTCAGCAAAAGTAAGAATCAATTTATGGGCGAAACATATTCGTGCATGTTTTACAAAACAAATTCATCGAATGAAGTCAGTGTATCAAATACAAATTCATCGAATGAAGAAAATCACATATATCTCTTGGAATGTGTTGGTTCGCACAAGTTTTTTTTCTGTTTTGGAAATTTGTTTTTTGTGACATCATTCGTTTGACAGTTGCGATTCTTTTCTCTCTCTACAGAATTTTGTTAGGTACATCGTCTCACACACATTCGAAGCACAGTCAACTCTGGCTGGTTGAACGTCAAACTTACACAGTCATCGTGCTCTTCCCTTCTTGAAGCAAACTGCAAGATGGGAATATCGTGCTCGAAAAAAGACGACAACGTAAGTTTATTTAAATAGAACTCTTTCGATTTAACGCTTTATTGCTCCATTGTTCGATTGGGTGTTGTCAACACAAAATTGGCGCCATTCAATTTATTTAAGAGGGTTTTTTTTTTTAAATTTGGTGAAAAGTTTTTGAAAAATGTTAAAATCTCGCCTCTAGACGGGCCTACACAAAAGAGAGTTAAATCGATTTTTACGACCATTGGTGACATGTTGAGTTGACTTGTTTTCATTGTTCCAATTGCTTCCAGGGTGCATCTGGATCAGATTCCATTGAGGAGCACGTGAACACGGACACCATGAATGAACAAATTGATGGCAACGTCGATCACGATGGTTCAGCACAAAAGAATGACGAAAAAAATGAACTCAATCCTGTGTCTGGTGCTAAAGAATCTCTTGATCCAGAAAAGCCACGTCTTCCGTCAATTTTCAAATTGAACTCGAATTGTTGGGAAAAAATATTGGATTGGTTGTCGATCCATGATTTGAATTCACTTAGTCAAACGTGCCGCCATATTCAGCGAATTGCCGGTGAATATTTCAGCAGTGAATATCAACAGGTTGAGTGGCGTGTTTTCGATGACGAAATTTCAACTGAGCACGGGCAATTGAATGGTCTGATGCCATTTGCCCGAAAATTGTTTTTGATGCAATGTGATCCAGACGCATTGCTTTACGATTCCGTAGCCAACGTGAAGACTCCAACCCACATGGAATTGGTTTTTGTTGATTCAACAGCACTCGATTTAAATCGAATGGCACCCATGCTGAGCAGCGTGGAAATCTTGACAATTCGTCATTGTCACTTTGAAAATGATTTTTTCGAAGCATTTCTCGAGTTATGTGTCAACTTGAAACGGTTGTCAATCACAAAAAATCCGGGCATTGGTTGGTTACTTCAGAAATACGTGACACTTGAACACTTGGAACTGAAGGAATGCGATTCAATCGATGAACTTCCTCAATGTTGTGAATTGAGTATATTCTTCAAAGGAAATACGAACGTTCGAAGTTTTTCGACCAATGCATCAACTCTGATGAGATACCACGATTCGTTGGTTCGCAACAAAATTGAACTGGATGACTTGACCGTCATAGATCACAATGATTCCAATGGATTTTATGTTGCTGCATATAGTCTTCATGCACAATGCTGTTACAAACGATTGCACGTGAAAACCGATTTTTCACATCATTTGCAGGAATTGAATGGACTTGTTACACTGCAAATACCCACCGACAATCACATCGGATTACCACCTTTAAACAGTGTCACGGAATATGCTCGATATGATTTCGAACAACAGTTTTTGAACTCCGTCAATGTTTGGTCAACATTTGGCTTTGAAAATCTCGAAAGTTTGCTGGTCGATTCTTTAAGTTCGGCAGCCATGATGAAATTTATTGGGATGTCGAAGAAACTCAAGGAAATTAAAATGAAATGTTTCAACGAAACGTTCGACATACGACGTATGAATATGGAACGAGAGAAATTGGAAGGAGCATGTAAATTGACGATTTACGTCGATGAATGGACGTACTTGGAGACGAAATGGGCCAAAAATCGCACCGATTTCAACATGATTGAATTGAAACGCAACACATCATACAGCGGCATTTGGGACATTTGCACAAGTGGATACCGTTGGTTTTAGTTGACACAAACAATACGTTTTACTTATATTCTACTATTATTCATAATTTTAATCAAGATGCAGAGCTGTTATAGGCTTGTAGGCGCTGTTCTTTGTTGTATTCAGGTGCAGAACTGAATTAGTTTTAGTTTTGGGCCAAATGTTGATAGAAGGCCTTGATATCGAAACAAACAAAACGCCGATTGGCATCAATCTCTTTATATATCTCTTTATATGCTTGTTATTGTTAAATTTTAAGTAATTTACTATACCTTTCTAACTATGTATTCAATCATGTCCAGCTGGTAGCATGTTTAATTAGAAATTAAGCGAAAAAAACATAATTAAAGGTATTATTTTCCCCGGAATGTTAAAAATGAATTTCTTCTAAATGGATTAATGTTATATTGGTTTATTAATCAATACAAACAGCATGATAATCTGATCCACATCTGAGTTTCTCTGAAGGTAAATTGAAAAGTTTTCATTTGTCAAAACAATAAACAACACAAACCAGGATGAATTATCAATTGACAAATGAATAGATGCGGTAGAAAATACATTAAGGTTCAAGGCGATTAACTGTGTGTCAACATTCTCTAGAAAAAAAATTCCGTCTCATTCATTTTTTCACTTTTTGAAGAAGAAGAAAAATTGCAGAAAATGATCATTTTAAATGGAAAATCATTCGAATGTGAATAAAAACAATTTCCAAATTGGAATTAAAAGTGGAAAAACCGATGAAATATTCAACGCATTGGTTCATATTCAAAAGTGGCGCGTGAATGATCTCAATCGTACTCTCCACACCGTCGGAACATTGAATATAGAATGCTGTCAAGTTCATCGTTTGACGTTTACGTGAAGAGACAGTATTTTTGTGTGTTTTTGTGCATCGACCACAACCAATTGTGGTACGCTCTGTGAATGTTTTCATATCTTTTTGTGTTATTTGCCTGTGAAATCCATCGAATTGCAATTTAAATCGAAGAGGATAGTTTGTGTTACATCGCATAATAGTCATTCGTCGAAATTCGGAATAAATATCCACGAAATACAAAGTGCAAACTGTGTGCTGCCGTGTGCAATTGATCCGCGAGAGAGACAGAGAGAGAGGAAGAAAAAGAGACAACGGATTTGGGTTTTTGGGTAAGCAATGGAATTATCGGTTTGGGATGGAATGTACGCCACAGAAACAAGACAAATTCATCGAATCCAACGAGAATATTCATTGATTTTGGTGCTTTGTATGCATTTCGGCCAAAATAAATCATTTTGTGCAGGGGCTTTTTTCATTCGGCCCAGATACCGTGTACGTGTGTGTGCTAGGGGGAAACCGCGCTTTTGAATATTGCAGATATAGAAGAGATTTTAACTTTTTTAGCGCATTTGAATAGATATAAGTACAAAATGTCAATTTTTAACAAATATGTGAGATATTGTGAGATATTGTGATCTAATAATTGTTCTGGAAGTGGGCTTTGGTGGATCCTCAGGATCATTAGACCGCTCCCAGTTCTGGAAGTGGGTTTTGGTGGATCCTCAGGATGGACCAGACTATGGTTTGACAATGCCCTGGCCCATCCTGAGGGTCCACTTCCAGAACTGGGAGCATTCTCATGATCCTGAGGATCCACCAAAGCCCACTTCCAGAAACTGAGATATGATTGAATACTTACAGATATTGTCAGATATGGTCGGATATTAAAATTTTTATGAGATTTTAAGAATAAAGTTAAATTTTGGTACATAAATACGCGCGGAATCCCCCTAGTGTGT